TTGTAATATTTTATACCTTTTTATCAGAGTATTTCCTCTTATTATTCTTTACCTATTTCCCTAGTAATTATCATTACAAGTTGTCATGTAATTATTTTCAACTTGAATTATTATTCTTAGTATTTTGACCTCATTTTATTGGTGTAAATTATAAAACGCTTAATCGATATACAAGTGAGTCTAATTAGGCTTATTTGTATTTGTCTAACTGATACCACTAACTATTATGTTAATAATGGTATCTCTTGATGCAGTCAAACCCAAGCTGGCCAGAAATCTGGGTGGGGTGATGGAAGTGCATTCTTGATGAGTGCTACACTAGAACGAACAGGTCGTCTGGTTTTTCTAAGTTTACATTAGTGGTCTAACTTAGATCAATTAGCGATTTTAAGTGTGGAAATTCTACTAACTTCATAATCTCATATTGACAATTATCATGAATTATCAAATGACTATGAAGAACTGATGAACACTAAAAATTTGTTTCTTCGAAGGTTTAAAACTCATCGAAAGACTTCATGGACTGAAAATTTGTAATTACACTTTTCAAGTTTATTTTAAACAATATTTGGAAGTTTAAGTTCAGTTTACGCGTTTATATACTAAGATATCTATTCCCTTTAATGTATGTCAATCAACTATGATTATTTATGTTCAGTGTGATATATTTTAGTATGACATGTATAAAAACCTATCTAATTCACAAAATTCTTCTTAATCGTGCAAACTAGTTTCCAATCGTATGGATTATATATTAACCTATCATATGATTATCTCTGACTGATTTTGGCAGTAGATGATGGTCTTTATGAAGTTTTTGTATCTCTGTACACCACCAAGCGGATATTCGACAAACTGATTCTTCAGTGTTCAAATAACTATTGCGTGTAATTAATAAAATAGCATATGTACAGTTTTTTGAAAGTTTACATTAAATGATCCAGTCAAGAAAAACATATGGTTTCCTTTGATAACCTCTGTTAAATACCTTACAAAATCAGTTTGTAAAAAGAAACTAAAAAAAGTCAATAATTAAAATATTAAGTTAACATTAGATACTAAACAATTAAAAATTAACAAAAGTATTTTTGTTATTAACTATTTATGTATTGTTATCCTAAAAGATGCATTTACACTGAACTTGATTATACCCTTGAATCATTATTTTAAACAATTAACTATCCGAAATATATAACAATAATTGAAAAAGAAGGGATATTCCGTGTTCATACATCTATGTTTTTAGTTCAATGAAAGTTTTTAAACAGAAATTGATTTATTATTTGAATTCATGAGCCAGTTGAACCTAAACCACCATGTGCAACCTGGAAGCAATGGACGGCCGTTTCGTCCTAGTATGGGACTTCAACGCTGTTCATTCACGATCCCGCCTCGCGAAATTCGAACCAAGGACCAGTGTTTCCAGGATTTCCATTGTGGTCTAGCTTCAATTGTTTCAAGAATTCAACTATTAAATTACTATGATATCCACAAAACCCCTCTCTGATTATAATTAGTGATTTAACACGTTTGAGAATAATTAACATCTTAAGTAAATGTCAACCAAAGAACCATTAATGTGTGATTCACTAGTCTTGCACACCCACTATATAACTTGTGATCTTAAAATGAATTTTGAGCTCTTAAAAAATCATCGGCAGAAAATATAATAAATGAAAGTATTCCTTTACACCAATGTTATGCGAAGAAGGTAGTCAGTATATATTTTTTGTATTTTACTGATAAACAGTTCAGATCAGTTATTCTGCAGACAGTTTTTCGCGATCAGAAAGAAGAGTACTGATAAGGAAGATTATATTTTGTTAGTTATTGTGTACCTAATGACTTTGATCAAACAATTGTATCAATATATATACGAATGTGTACAAAATGGCTGTTGAACAGTAATTGTAGTGTTGAGTCAGTAAAATCTAGATTATTCAAGTATAAATTATGGTTAGATGATCTTGTTATCCTTATAACAATTGTTTTAATACATAATTTAACGAAAAACATCTGTTTTACATGTTTAGTGAATGAACCACCAAAGCTCACAATCAATTAGATTCATTTCAGTTTCTAAAGTTGAATTTTATTCCTGGCTGATCAAAAGTTTTTATTCAACGGTTGTAAATAAAAAGTGATTTATATTGTTTATGCTAAAAGCAGTGATAAACATGTGCTCATTAGTGACTAGCTTTGAAAGGTAATTTATTAAGTTTCAATGAGAAACCGTAACAAATGGACTTCAATCGTGTCGGGTATGAGGCAGTTACCCGCAGAAGGCAATGTAACATAGTCGCGTAATATCATGAATGTGTTCAAGGTGAACATTAACACAGTCGATCCTGGCCGGTTCTACGGTCGATAGGTTAAGTGTTTTCACGTTAGATCAAAGGCCATGGATTCAAGTCCTGCGCGCAGGATCGTTGACATGTCCTGCTGAGGAGTCCTGTACTAGGATGAAACGACCGTCCAGTGCTTCCAAATTTTAATGGTGGTGTAGCACTGATCGGTTCGTGATTTCAATGTTAAACATGAACTTATCCATTACGGTAAATTTAATCAATGGATGCGTCTACAACCAGAGATTACACGACATGATGTTTGCCACTACGGTCTCACGTGAGATAAATAGAGTGTTAAAAAGCTCAGTAGTAGAGTTTCTGAATGCATAGGTTGGTAAACTTATGAAAGATCATTGGTTCCCTCAACATAATAGATACATCTTCAAAATGAATGTCAGCTGATACGAAACATACGTCTAAGGCAACCTACTATGTGCTTCTACCTGCCTAACACGTGACTAATGAGTCCTATGCTCAAATGTCTCATACGTCGCAATTTCACATACATTGTTCATAGAAATACATAAAAATTCATTCTACTGTTTGAACATTTTATTTTATGTTTCACACAGATCTGACATTGCGTTCTTGAAATGATCAGAAATATGCGTAGATTTCTTCCTTGTTACCACCTTCATGGTCACAAAGAAAGTTTAGAATTTGTATAGAATACAATTATGGTAATTCAATTAAGATATTAATTACTTACCACCAGCAAAATAATATAATAAATACCAAATAGATGATAAATGGTCCTTTTTGATTCTTAAATTCATTTCTGTATAGGTTGTTTGAATCTTCCGATTGATCTATCGGACTGCGAATGATCAGTTTCTTATTGACATGTGTGCATCCCGTATAGATTGTTTCGATATTGCCTTAAATCAGAATCATTATAAGCAGAGATGAGTGGTGACTAGTAGTAGAATCCAGAACGCGCATTTTGTCCTAGCTAAGTGGATAAGAAATTAAAGCGATCGATACGTGGTTTGAGTCCCAAAGTGAACATCAACTCTTGGGTGCAGGCACATCCTGCTGACGTGTCCCAAACAGGACGAAACGCTCCTCTCTGATTCTACTGCTATCCACCATCTATCTCTTCTTTTTAATTATTGATTCTCTCCAGGCATCATATTGATTTAAACTCACATTAACACAGCATCTTTACTCCTGATGATGCTAAATATTTAAAGCCAAACAAGATAGCATAACTATCTTCATTCATTTTTATCTGTTATTGTTAATTCTGATAATTTTGAATGTCAGCAACGTAATAAGAAATGAATAACTGAAATAGATTTTTTAGATTTGAATGCATAGACCTTTGGTTTTTAGTTCAGCGATGATTAGTAACACCATGATTGCCTTAAAATATGAACATCAATGAGTTTATTCCTTTGTTGTTTCATGAATCACTCACTATTAAAGATTTTCAAACTAGAGTGAAACAATTTGGTACTATCCAGGTGTTAGTGAATCTCTAGACGATGTCATACAACAATTTTTTTAAGCTGACATTTTATACATCATAACCTCATTTCTGATGGGTTTCTATCACATAAAACTACTCATTTAGTTTCATAAACAGGAAATCTTAATTGATATACTGAACAACTCTACTTTAATTAAATGGTCAATAGATTAATAATCTGTTTCAATCTTCTATCTTCAAGATAACTTAATACTGTTTAATCTATTAATTTGCAAAGAAATAAATAACTACCATTTTACTACAAACATAGTTATTCAACTATGAAAAGAAATCTATTTAATTGAATACACCAACTTATTCCTAGAATACGTTTTATTCAGTAAAATTAAATTCATTCATTTCATAGGATTAAATCATTCAATTAAGGCATATTCATAAAATATCTATTTGTCAGAAATATATGTCAAATATTCAACAATAATTCATTTATAATGTTAATATAAACACTATGACTCTTTTATGATTGATAGATAATCAATTAATAAAAAACTTCTGATACTTACAATGTTTAAATACTTGATTAATATCACTAACAAACATAAAGTATTAAGTATTATTAATTGAATGATTAAGTTAGATCATCCATTGACCTATCTATAATCAATAATTAATTGCTTCTTTATGAGAGATAATTGATAATTCATGCATTTCTTTCATTAAGTAGACATTAAAATGTTTATATTATTGTTAATCATAAGAAAACATTTCGAAACTTTTAAATTACATTACAAAATATTTTCTGTTTGATTGTAGTTATCATCGTTAATTATCCGTGTCCAGTAAAGACACATATCTACCTCAGTACAATGAAGAAAGATGGTCGCGCAATTTCGTGGATTGGTTGAGATTAGACATTAACACCGTTGGATGCCGGTTGGCTCAGTGATTTAGAGGTTAAGCGTTCACACGCTAGACTGATAGGTCCTGGTTTCGAATCTTGCGAGGCGGGATAGTGGATGTGCACTGCGGATGAATCCCACAATAAGACTAAATAACCGTCCAGTACTCCTAGGTTTTTCATAGTGGTCTAGCTTAAATTCACTCATGATTTCAACTATTAAAATTATTATAATATCCACAAAAATCCTTTCTGATAATATTTTTAATTATTTTATATCTTCATTTCTAATTAAATTATATTTTTTCCATTGAATTAATAGAAATAAAAATCGACAACTATATGAAAATCAAATTAATTTCACTCCTAAATCTCATATTTTCACAATGAATTCATCACAAATTACAACAATGATACATTCATATCGTTTGCCAATGTTTCCTACATTATTACCAAAATTAGAAACAAATCAAAATTATTATAATTTAGAAGAAAATCAATATAATAATGATAATTATATTGATGATAGTGATTCATATAAATCACATATTACATTAGAATCAATAACTAATAATTCAAATAAAATAATTCAGTTAAAAAATATTCAATCAATCAATAATTATTTATTACCAAAATATGAAATAATCAATAAAAAAGAAAAAAATAATTTTGAAAAGAAAATAAATAATAAAGAAAAATGTAAGTTGATGAAAAAAGAAGAAATACAAAATATAAATGATTGGGAATTTGATCAAATTAAAACAAAAAATAATCTTTCTATTCGTATTAAACATATTAATGAATTATTTTGTGAAGTATCTAGGAAAATGGTAAGTTTTATATTTGTTTTTCATTATTATTTTTAATATAATTGTTAATTAATAAGAATATTCTTCAAGATTAGAACGAATAGTTTGATAGAAATTGAACGCCGAGTATAAAGAATTCATTATATATAAAAATTATATATCAAATAATTTCAGCAATTGAAATTTAAATATGTTCAATGTTTCGTCCAGCTAACTTGTTTGAACTTCTTCAGGGTAATAATCAAAATCAAAATAATCCAAGAAATATATAGCTTTTTAACAATCAAAACTATACTATGTTAAACCAACCATATTTGGATGTTGATTTTGTAAAATAGGATAACATGAGTCAGTTAAATGCGAATCATGTCTTTGGTGATTTTGATTATTACCCTGAAGAAGTCCAGACAAGTTAGCTGGACGGAACGTTGGAATTAGTTAAATTTCAATCGCTGAGATTATTTGTTAATTAATTTCCATTATAGATGATGTTTTATGATTTAATGATAAACTATTTCTTTAGAGAATAAATAACTAAATTAAAATGAATCCAAGTTGAAATTTTGTCTACTCATTTAGGATATATACAAATATATTATTTTTATTTAATAACAATCTATCCATTACTCTCTGAAGAAGTAACTTACAATAAATCACGAAATGTCAGAAAATCTAATTTTTATACTCATTTGAGATATTACAAATATAACAGTTTCATTTAATAACAATCTACTTATTGCTTATTTTATTCGGAATCATCGAGTCAAACCTTCGTAATGATACCTACTTCTTTATAGACGTTTCATACTATTTCAAATGAATGGTCCTGAGACGTTGTTAGTTTGAAAAATTCATTTATTCAATTTTCAATGTGTTTGTTGTTGTTGTTGTTGTTTACATTCCCTTCATTACACATATAATTCTCTTGAAATCCTTTCTAATCAAAAGCTCGTTGGTTTATGGCAAGGTGAGAGATAGAAGAAAATTGGTAATTTTATTAGTAGTACATTACAATAGTAAAAAAATAATAACAATAACCTTCATTTATTCCAAATAATTCATTTCATTATTTACTTACAGAATTCAACTGCTCTAGAAATTTCCCTAAAGTAAAATCTATAGTTTAAAACTACTTTTATTTTATTACAGGGTATGGTTGCTTTTATATATGTATGTATGTATGCTCTTCTATACAATTATTACTGAAGTTAACCACAATTTTTTATGTATATGCTGTCGGTTGTTTTTTCCATTATAAGAATTGTTTTCATTAAAAAACTGACATGAGCGTTTCCTTTATTGAGATCTCGCTCTCCATATATATATATATATATATATATATATATATATATATATATATATATATATATATATATATATATATATATATATATAACGAAGCTAGATCGATATTCTGGTGTTTATCTATTTATTTTCCGGTAAACATTAAATAGTACGAACGTATAGTAATGATGACAGTATGATTTAATAGTCAAACTGCAAGCTACCTTTAAACCGTGAGCATTATTCGAAACCTTTAAATATTATTTGGTTAGCTCATATCGAATAAAATCGGATATGGAAAAATTTAGATAAATACTTAGTTTTACAAACCCGATCTTCTGGAATAGCTGAATTTTTGGGAATTCAGACTCAGAATTATTACTTTGAAGATTGTAATCCAATGACTTTTCTTAATTACTTATGAGTAAGTTTCTATATGGATCTAGACTTTTCTTGAATAAGTTAATCAAAGAAATATACATCAACTCTTTTGAAAGTTTCAGAAAAATATTGTTCATTTTTTAACTTTATAACTTACCTACTGCATCTTCTGCATTGGGATAATATAATAAAAAGCAAGAACAATAGAAATAAAACAATTTGGACCAAGTATTAATAAGACGTCTTTTTTACAAGATTTCAAATTTGGTAAATCTTTACTAACAAAGTGGTTGGCCTACGATAATTTTTAGTTACGTATGATCAGGATCGACCGAATACGAACTCAATAATGAGCCAACTGATAGGCGAAATTCTTCAACAATAATCACTAAACATTGAAACCCAACAAGATAGATGGAGTATAGCAAGAACTCAGTGTTCAATACAAACAAAACTGAATGCGAACAACGTTATATATACAGTGATAAAACATAACTTAAGAACATTGAAAAATTGGGGAAAAAAGTTTTAAAAACCAACCAGGAAACAGCAAGGTCATGCAGAAATATAAATTTTAAAAACTGTACTCGATGTTGTCGTTACAGAAAGGAATTTGTTAATAACAAAGAATTAAAAAAATAACTTAAAACCTTCCTAGAATCATATAGACTCATTTATAAACAAATGAATAAACACTTGGTGTTATTTGGCTTGTATCTTTCCATAGAGGTTTAAGACTGTAATTGATCAGTCTGTTATTGGCATATGTGCATACTGTGCGTATGCCTCGATATTACCTTAATTCACAAGCTATTTGTAAGCAATGATGGATATTGGCTAGCAGTGAAATCCAGTTTGACGCGTGTTTCGTCCTGTTTGGGACTCGTCAGCTGGATGTGCCTGAATCTCAAGGAGTTGATGTTCACTCTGGGACTCAAAACCCTGTACCATATGCTTCAAACGCCATCGCGTTATCCACTCAGCTACTGAGTCCTGATAGACACTTGCTTGTGCGATGGGGTGAATTTAAATTCACTTTGTATTGTTTGTCTTGTATCTTCCCATTGAGGTTTAAGACTGCAATTGATCAGTCTTTTATGAATAAACACATTATAAATTTGTTATGAATACTGAAGGGTGAAATATATGTTTGGTATTATTTAGTGTCACATGCTTCAATAAACTTAAAGAGTAGAAAATCATTCTGTATCATAATAAAATAGATAGTTTAAATCATTTGCAATACTTGATCAACTTTGTTTATAAGTCTACCAAAGCATTTATCATTAGAAAACTTAATCTTTTATTAATAAAATTTAGTTATATTACCTTTTCATCTGACCTTGAAAATATCTAACCTAAAGAGACCATATTTTTTAAATCAATTTCATATTTTCATCAAATTATTTTAGCTTAAATAAAGAACTGATTGTTTTTTTTATTGTTTTCAATCAGAAATATAGTTAACTTAAACAATAGAATTACACTTTATTATCATTTTCTATATTTGATTATCATATCCAAATTGGATTGTAGGTATATCAGCCTAAAAACAAAAAACAGAGACAGTAATAGTTAATATTATGTTTTTAATATTTGTAATATAAAGTGAATAATTTACGGTCTACTACGAAAACTTTAGTTTTATGCTTTCTATATATCAGATTATGAGTTAAAAAAGGAATTTATTTGCTGTTCTCTTTTTATTTTATCAAAGAATATATCAATTATTGAATCCTACCGGTCATTTTGTAATGGTCTATTGAATTATTTATATAAAATTATGATAAATGAAATGATAACAAAATAGTTTTATCATTCGATTTATAGTAGAAAAATAATTTTTTTAAAAGATTTTTTTCCATTTTAATCTGTTCTCCTTTATTAAACTTTTTCCATAAAACCGATTCTGATATTAATCAACAGATGTTCACTAGTGACTGGTATCAAGATGTAGATCCTGGAGTCCTAATGAGAAGCGGTGACCAGTGGAGTTCAACCGAGTCAGCTGTGAGATAGTAACTTACTGATGACAATGGTGGATGTGTCGCTCAATTTTGTAGATTAGTTGAAGTTAGATATTAACACCATTGGATGCTGGATCGGTAGTCTAGTGGTTAAGCGCTCTCATGCGAGACTGACAGGTCCTGGGTTCGAATCCTGAAAGCGGGATCGTGGATGTTCACCACTGAAGAGTCCTAGAATAGGACGAAACAGCCGTTCATTGCTTCCAGGTTTTCCATGATGGTGTAGCTTCAATTCATTCATGATCTCAACTTTTGAATATATATATATATCTGATATGAACACTTTATTTGCAAATGTACCTCTTAGGAAAACCATTGATATTTTATGTGACTATATCTCTTTGAATAACCTTCCATTGCCATTTCATTTTAAAAATCTTAATGATTTATTGCTGAGATTATAATTTATGGACGACCTTTAAGCGATGCTGAAGTGACGTTGAGAGTGGACACCTACTGATTAGGATTAAATGAAGGTTGTAAAGCAATCAGAATTCTCATTTACACTTGATGGTTAGGGTTAAAAATTACATTTAGAGTTTTCATCACAAGCAGACATAATCTATAATGCCAAAACTCTATTTAGCCAAATGTATGGATGAATTTCCCGCCAAAATTCGTGACTTGTTATCTTAGATCTAATTGGTTCATCCATAAATTATAGTATCACTGATTTATTATTACTGTGTACTGATATGTATATTTATTAATTACGATTTTTTTCATTTCGAGAATAATTTGATTTATTTTTTCACTAAAATCTAATATAAAATCTGAAGTTTATTTATTAGTTTATTAATAATAATAATAAGAAGGAACAGTAATCATAATGATAATAATAGATAAGTGAAATTTAAACTGTTTTAAACTTTTCTAATTTTTCCTTAAACCCTATGACTTCTCTTATTACTATTTCTACGTTTATTAATATAATTTTTTGTTGTTGAAATTCTATTTTAAATTTGTTAAGATGCATTATGATTCAGAACTTACGACTGATTTATATTCTGGCTTGTCTTTCACAAAGGAATTCGCCATGTTACCCTAATAAGAACTTTACAGCACTTTAGTGTTCGTGTTCATATAGACTTACATTCAATATACATTGATTCATGCATTGACTTTATTGGAGATGTTAGATCCTCTGGAATCACTTGGTAAACATCTGATTTTCGCGCTGAAATTGCCCACTTTTACTTTCGGTTTGTAATTCCAACTTGGAAGAACCTTAAATATCGTTGGTCTGTTTCCTGTTTTAGCACACTAGTTTGTGACATTTTCCGATGACATTTTTGAACTATATATATATATATATATATATATATATATATACGTATGATTTGTGTGCTTGTTCGTTTGTGTATACAGTCTGCTTATGGAATATATATTTCCCTCAACCGATTCTAGTCTTCGCCATCTAATCAGCAGGTCTGGGGCGCAGTGGAATAGTTTAGCTTATCCTGTTGTAGTGTTTTTGACTTTCATTCCGTTTGCTAGTGTTAGGTGATATCGTTATCTCTTCAAAATAAACAAACTTCTTATCCACAAAATAAATGAGTTACAAACCACGAATATTTTCAACAAACATAATGTTTATTATCAACTGTCAAGATTGCATTTTCTTGTTCGCTGATTAAATTCAATTATCAAAATTAACAGTGGAAAGTTAAAACTCTTATAACTCATTGTTATTATTCACTTATTCAATAAAAATCAATTCCCTAGGATTCTGACTGATGTAAAGCAGGATCAACGAAAATAAATAAAATGATTATCATAATTTTAGTTGAATAACAAGATATTTTATCTACCGGATTTCAATTTAGTGATCTAATGGTTCTCACAGCAACCATCAAGGATGAAAATAACTGACTTTTTTATTCCAAAATGACATCACTAGTGGTTAATAATAGACAACACGCAAAAATTAATTTATTCCCTGTCCAATACCTTATATTTTTTCAATTGCCGTAATAACGATTTTCTGAGAACTATCGTCTAAACTTGAACAAGTGGATTCACAATGGCTCAGGAGCCGGGTCTTGACAATATATTGAGGCGTAAATTACATTTATAGAAACTTCGATAAGTAAAATTGAAACTTATGCTAGCTCCAAGACTAACGATTGGTACTTTTTTAATGCTCAGTTTCTTTTCTTTTCTTACATTTCTATAATATTTCAGTATTGTTTAAGCGAAGAAAACGGATCATTAATGAATAATTTATTCAAAGCAACAGAAAATTTAAAATATTTAAAAAACATTTTAAATAGTAAGTTATATTCCTTAAATATGATTTTGTTTCAGTCGATTTAGTTGAGTTGTGGAAAATTTGATTAATCAGAAGATACACTGATGTAATATCTATGTATAGCTAGTGTAGAACACTGCTGACTCTCTCCCTTTCTCTTTTTTCTCGTGGTTGACTGGATTACGAAGACTTCTACATCTGAGAAAAAACACAGAATACAATGGACAGCTCGGAATCAATTGGGAGATCTGGACTTGATCCTTGTATCCCATACACACGAGCAAACGCAAGTAAAAAAAATTAGGTAGCAGCAGCCTCTGCAGCAGTAGGCCTCAACATGCACAAGGGAAACACAAACATCCTAAAATGCAACACACAACACACCAACCCAATCACACTTAATGGAAAAACTCTGGAGCAGATGGAATCTTTCACTTACCTAACTCGACAACATCATCGATGAAAGCGGACGATCTGATGCAGATGTAAAGGCGAGGATTGTCAAAGTAAGGACAGCATTCATGCAACTGAACAATATATGCAACTCAAAACAACTGTCTCTGAACCAATGTCAAAGTCACAATCTTCAATATGAACGTCAAAACAGTCCTATGGTACGGAGGTGAAAGTTGGTGAACTACTACAACCATCATCAGATTGGTACAAGTATTTATAAACAGTTGTCTACGCAAGATACCTAATATCCAATGATTGAATACCATAAGCAACAACTCACTGTGGGAGAGAACAAACTAACTTGGAGTTGAAGAGGAAATTAGGAAAACACGTTGGAAGTGGATAAGATGTACATGATGGAAATCACCAAATTGCATCAGGAAGCAAGTGTTAATGCGAAAAATGAAGACCGAAGGACAAACTACGTCGGGAATTGAAAACAGACAGGAAGAGGATGAAAAACAAGTGGAAACAACTGGAAGGGATTGTCCAGGACAGAGTTGGATTGAGAATGGTGGTGGTCGACCTATGTTCCTCGACGAAGGCTAATGAGTGTAAGTAGTTAAGTAAGTAATTTAGAACCCAATTCTGTCAACAGTGAGACAGTGGTAAACAGTAAGACTCAAGAACCATATGACTAAATGTTGAATTACTTATAGTTTAGAACATAAATAACTGCATCCAAACTCACTAGTTTAAAGGTTAGAGGATTTTTGCTTCCTGGCTTTAACCTTATATAGGATGTGAACTCATATTCCTATTAGCTATGGTACTCACTGGCTAAAAATCGGTGAAGACAGACACTTATAAGATTTACCTTCGTTTACATCATAATTTCTGAATACTTGAATGTATGTGGAGATGTGTGTTCAATCGCCTTAATTGGCCTAAATTGCTGCTGAATGGTAGTTACACACATTAACCCCAAAGCACATCTATGAAGGGATATTTTAAGTCAAAACAATCTGCTGACTGGAAACTAATAATTCCTAACAAGACACAGATATATATGAATTATAAAAGAAAACAATGAATATTTCCAATACTGCATGGGTTTATGTTATACATCTTGTAAGTTATTTATTAGTCAGTAAAACTGAGAACTGACAATCGTGCTTAATTTGTATCCATCACATAATTATAAAATTTTGAAACGGTTACTTATTGATATTATAAATATGCTGCTCTGATAGTGATGTTTAAAATTATTAGTTGTTATTTCACTCAATTCTACAATAAAATGCATAGAAAGGTACCACCTCCATGAACATTTTCAAAACTTTTAGTTAAAAAATAGATTTGAAAACATACTGTTTCCAAATTAAAATTTCCCCTTCTCCAACTAGACTAGAAGGTATAAAGTTATCCATATGAAGACTTTTCAAAAATGATGTCTCACTTCAATATGAAGAGAAACGTATATGCGTAAATGTATCTATAGTTTAGCGTCGAGAATTCATACAACATTAAGTTATTACCATTTCGACTAATCCTCTCAGTTTTAATTGCAGCTGCTGACCTGTTGCTGTTTTCTATCAAGGCTTAAGTAAGAATCCTGTATTCCAGCCTTAGAAGGAGTATATGCACGCTGAGTAACCACTAAATTTTATTGATAAGTTTTAATCAGGATTTCTCCAATTGTAATTGTTAAATAATCATCATGAGCAAAAACATTGCACCATACCACAAATTATCTGTAGTTGAAAAGCATAGTATACTGATTGTGATTTAACGATCTAGTGGGGCTGTGCTCACCATAAGATCTTAAAATCCGAAGTTCGATCTCATATGAATTAGTGATTGCGCCTTAATGACGAGTTTAATTTAAGCTGGTTTACATTTATAACTTTCTATCAAGATCATTTTAAAATTATTTGAAACTTCACAAAATCACGTTTTATTCATTCGTTTTTTATCATTATTGTATCTATAAAATATCATCGTTACTGTGTTATGTTGTTGTTATGTTATTGTGTTTTAATTAGATGGTCAAGAGCATCGTTCAACATTTCAATATAATTATCAAATTGATTCAGTTAATCAAGTTGAAAATTCATCCCATAAACCTAACAACTGTTATTCTCCAACTAGACATTGTATTTCTCCTCATCAAATTATTAATGATGATTTCAATATTCATAGATTAAAATTAAAAACTGGAAGTTTACATGAAAATTTATTTTCACTTTCTCAACCAAACTTAAATCAAGATATCAATGACTGTAATCTTTCAGAGAAATATAATACTGACAATGGTACTCATATGGATCATTATCAGTATCATAATAATAATAATAGTGATAACAATAAATGTAATAAATACACAGAGAAGACACGTTTGGATATATATAAAACAAAAGGTAAGTCCATTTATGCTTTTTTTTATTTCTTGATAGTGTTGATTACATGAAAAATTTATTTATCAGATAGTGATTTACTTGAATTTGATATTAGTGAGATAAAATCTTACTAAATAGTACCTTCATTTTGAATAAGACTTCAGTAATTATTAAGTACATATTAACTATTATTCTAGCTGTTTTATCGAATTATAAGATTACAGCTACAGCTTACTGATAAGTTTCATATGCACACAACGTCATGTCACGTACATTAGAATTTACATTGCAATTTAATGAAATGGATTAGGTCAATAATAAAAGAACTAGATAAACATGATATTATTCACTATTCATTGATATATCATTTATAAACAAAGTATCTAATTAGCTAATCTGTCATCAATAATGGTAAACAAGACATGATATTTGAAAAGTAATTATGTTATTGGCTTATATCATCCACTATTTATTTAGTCAATTACAATAAAACCTCGTTTCAAGAACTTCTATATGAATGCAATTGTTGTATTTAATTTGATAAATAAAATATATTTTCTTTATAATTGACATCTCAAATGTCAAACAAAATGTTAAATTAGTTGAAGCTGGACATTAACACTGTTAGATACGGGCTCAATGGTCTAAAGGTTTAGTGTTCGCGCGCGAGACCGATAGGTCCTCGGTTCGAATCTCGCAAGAACTCATGTTGAACAAGTTGACACAAGATTGTCACCTATATTATGCCAGACATAATTCACATGAAATATATCACATTTTCTCCAGATAATACTAAAGAAACATGGAAATTTCTACTTATAAAATATGGTATGAGCATTTATGAAAATGTAAATGATCTTAAGTATTTCTTTGTATTTCTTTGAGGAGTCCCACAATAGGACGAAACGGCCATCCAGTGCTTCTAGGTTTTTCATGGTAGTCTACCTTCAATTGACTCATGATCTCAGCTAATGTAATTATTTTTAACTGAGAATTTTCAAGATTACTGATAAACGTTTTTGATCCAATCTATTTTCACACAAGAAATAAAACAATATCAAGTTAATTATGAGGATTATTTTCTAATCTCTACAATGTCATTTTGTAGTGTCGGTTACTATGTTAAGCTCACATAACTTATCCTAGCTTCTGGACAAGTCAATTTATTCATTCTATTTGAATCACATTTTGACCATATCAGTTATTCTCTTGTCAACCTTAACTGCTTTTATATGAGCGTATATGGATGCGTTTCCTATCTTACTCATCACATGTCTGTAACTTATTTTTATGTGACTATAAATATCGATCAGCGTTTGACTAAAGTGAGTTGGCCCACACGCCTCCTCCACTGCGTGTCATTCCTCTTCGCTCTCTTCTATCTGCTTCGCTCTTCCCTCTTTGTTTCGTCTCCATGAATGCCTGTTCAGAACACATTCTCATATTTGGCTTATTTAATTCAGTTATTCACTAACGCGTATTAAGTCAATAGTAATATAAGAGAACAGCCAGGATGTATATTTCGACAGCAGTCATTCAATAACAATCAATCAGACGATCTACCTAGAGTCAGATACAGGGCCACTGAAGTTTAAACAATTTATTTTAATGACCTTTGTTGTATTACTTAAAATTTATTCGAATAATCAAAGATTAAATATTCAATTTACTTCTGCCCAAAATAACAGATTTATAATTATTTTGGGGTGGATGTAGTAATATATTAAATTTCAAATGATTGACCTGTTTTAACACTAATTATATAATGGATTTTATATTGTTTGTTTAAATCTCCCCATTGATGTTTCGCACTGCACTTGATCAGTCTCCTATTAACATATGTACATCCTGTGAGGATTGTTTCGATATTGCCTTAAGTTACAAGCATTATAAGCAGATATGGAAACTGATCAATTTCAGTTCTTAAAAATCAATGGGAATTACTAAACAGCCGATACAAGCTAATCAGACTTCATCCCATTTCATAAATCTATGGTTATCTGTACTCAGTAGCTAAGTTGTTAAGTCGATGGTGTTTGAAGTGAATGGCAATAGGTTTGAGTCCCGGAGTGAACATCAACTCTGGGACGCATGTAAGTTAGGCTGACGAGTCCTAAATAGAATGAAAGACGCGCTCTGGATTCCACTGTTAGCCACCATCCTCTCTCATTATAACATTTGCGTAATGGATACGATTACCTATTAGTGATCGATTTACGTTTGTAAGTAACGAACAGAAATAAATTGATTAGTTGAAATGTGTTGGAGATTACTTAAAGGACAAACCGTATTTTATACTACAACATAAAACACTAAACTGAAATAAAAATTTACTTTTTAACTTTATTGATTTCTAGCTCATACCTTTTTTTAAACTCCATGGGTCTCCTTGTTAGCAAGTTAAAGCTTAATCACTCTAGCCATCTTTTGAAATTTCAAGTGTTCATTACAATACTGAATTCTAAAATATACAAGACCTGAAAGTCCTGAGTTTGATCCAATCTGGTCTTAGAGTCTTATTGTTAAACAGCTACAGACCAGACCATTTCCTGGCTTTCAACCAGTTTTAATATTCGACGAAAGCTATTGTCAAATCAATTAGTCAACTACATTAGCATTCAATCAATTGTAATATCGAATTCCTTATTTCATTACTTAATAGGAGTTTGTTTTAAATTTGAAAAATGAAGTTTTCATCATAAAATCCAAATCAGCCAACAAATTATTAAAAATGGTATAACATCAAACAGTTACGTTTCATCTGAGAGAACCCCTAACTTTCAGTTTCGTTTTCAATGTGCCGTAGACAAACATTCAGCTTTTCAGTCGTGACTCAATGATTAATTCTTCTGAAGATAAAGTCATATTAATTCTCATAAAACATCATCTTTTGGGATGCATTTTTTAAAATGAATAAGAAGAATCATTTAAATTAAATATAACTACTGTAATATATACGAAGTGAAACAAAAAACAAGTCTGCTATCTCTAATCCCTTGTTTATTCACTTTTATGAATGACTCATAAATACCCTTTATTTATGTAATAAATAGACAAATCTGGAATATTCTTCCCTTATTAATTGACTTGACGAATGAATACAAACACAAATATATATACGCCCATTATTTTGTTGATGACTAATTTTTCTTTATCATGTATAAATTGAATGTTGGTTTGTCCTCCTTATTATTGTTTCAATCAATCTAACGATAACAATAGTATTATAGTATAACAGAAATGTTCAAACCCAATTAATTTATAAGCAAAGATAGATAGTGGCTAGCAGTGGAATCCAAGACGCGCGTTTCATCCTATTTGGGACTCGTCAGCTGGTTGTACCTGCATCTCAGAGTTAATGTTCGCTTATAAAGCTTGTGACTTAAGGCAATCCACACAGGACGCACATATACGAACAAGAGACTGATCAATTCAGGTCCTAAACAACAACGGGAAGACACAAGCAAACAACACCAAGTGAATCCAATTAATTTATAATTTAAAAAATTTTAAGATGAAAAATACTTTGATATGATAAATGAAACAATGGAAGCCATGACACTGTTTAAATAATATCCGCTGTTTGAATATCTTCACTTCTACAGATCACTGATCTGTTAAACATTAATAACTCAAATGGTTAAATTCTCGATATTTTTTTATCAGAAATGACCATGTTGAATGGCTTACCCATACCGCTCGGCTACTAATTGTTTAATTGTCTAACTATTCTTAGAAATGTCATTACTTTGGATATGTCTTACGTTATCCACAGTGTATGTTAGACATGTAAATCCACTTACTTGCTTTCATAAAAAACTTACAACTCACATAGAAGCTTGTTACTGCAAAATTCTACCACAGTGGCTGATACATTGGTGCCTGCTTATTAAGAAAATAAGAGTCGAAAATACTGGAATTTGTGGCTCAGATATATCATATTATGACAAAAATGTCATAGAAAAAGAACTAGCAGAAAGCCTCGGTCCTTAATGATAAATAAAAGATAATTATTGCAGCAATAGTTTAGTTTGTTTCATCGAATAATTAGAACTTTATTGCATTGTCAAGAATTATTCTCTGTAACGAAGGATATGGTAAAGTTGAGAGGCTTATGGAGACTATTCAGTTTGAAAACATACACCAACGACTAACTTTGACTAAACAGCTTCTAAAGACCGGATTACGAGACCCGCACGTTCTGAATTCGATTTCTGGAAGAATTGTGAGTGTACACTATGTAAATCAATACTATAACGAACCAGCTGTCCAGCGGTGTTTGGTTTTTGATAATTGAGTAAACAAAGCGATTGCGCAACCTATTTTCATAAGAATTATGTTACAGAATGTGATTATCACTACTATCACTATGGCTAATATTATTACTATTGAGTTATAAGTATATTGAGAATATCATTGGTAATACTTTGAAAATTAATTTGAATATAAATCAAATTGAAATGGTTGAATTATAGTTTTAATGTTATCCCAAAACATTTTTAGACAATCACGAAACAACTTGCTAGTATCTCTTAAGTCTTGATAACATAAACTTCCTCCTTGTCAAACATACAAGAGGAGAAAAGCATTTTTCGTGATAAATCTCACTTACGTACAAACTACAAGATATATTGAAAATCAATTAAATTTAAGATATTGAAAAATGAAGAACTTATTAGATCCGTAGACTGAAAATCTGCATCAAACTATGCGTTCTTGAACGATATTATTATTGATACCATATTAGTTGACATCTAAAAACTAATCTACACGATAATTCGATCCTCAGTTTTAGTCCTTTCCTTTCTGACAAAAAGATAAGCATTTTATCTGTTCAGACTTGATTACTCAAACTCTACCTGAATAGTTTTCAATTGTGATGACAAACTGTAGGCTCTCTTGTGTAGATTATTGACACTTTGTAGTACTGTTTTAATAACCGCCTGTATATAGTATGTAGGTGGACGTGGTGTCAGAGCTGTCACAATCATCTGACGGAGAGAACAGTCTCAGTCCATTGAAAGCATGTCGTAGGCAGAAAACTTGATCATCAACTCCAAATGATTATAACTTTATTTTTAATTTTGGCCCATAATTATAAGGTACTAAAACTATTATAATTTTGCATTACTCTACTTGTATGTTTTTGTTGTTTATTTCACCGCTTAATTATTGGTAATTTACAACGGACCTATTATTTAGTTTTTCCACGTGTAACGTAGTTATGCCTATATCGTAATTTCTTACTTCTATTGATAAGTGGTCAGAATTTAGCTCTGTATTATTATATGAGTGATTCGTAAATCCCGACTTTACAATTAGAAGCTGTTTGCCTTCTCTGTTATGGTTATCAGATGAGTGAGAATGGGAACCCCCATTTTGAACTCTCGGCTGTTATCTCACACTTGACGTGTCCTTGATCAGTCGAAGGTTACTGGTAATAGGTAGACGTTTTAGGTGAGCTAATTAGTGCTCGGACGAGATCAATCCAACTGCTCCCCTATCTTACGGTCTGATCCTACGGGCCCCAAATAAGTAAACAAGAAAACTTGTTTATTTTCACCAACTAAGTAATATGGTTTGAAGGTCATTTCTAACAATGTCTTGTAGAACCTGATAATTAGTAAACTTTGCGAAAAACGCTCATCTAACCATAATCGCCTATGTGAATAACCACACTTTACAAGTATCTTGTTCTGATGATTGTCAATTCTTATACTCATTCGGGACATCAAGGTCTACCTATAACTTCATTTTATCATCATCACCATATACAGTTCTTAATACTTTAACATCATCCACAAACATTAAGGACGATTATTTTCCCTCTTCTCATAGATTTATCACATTAAGTAGTGAAATGAGAGGGTTTAAAGTATAACATTAGGTAGTTCAGTCTTCACCGATCTCCATCAGTTATCTTCACCATCTACACCTTTCACTTGTAATATGGTGTTGAGTTATTTAATCGTGTGTAAATCACCCTTATCATTAGTAAAATTTCATAAAAAGTGGATGTATCAAACTTTTAAGCAGAAGTCTAAAGCAAAACTTGTATTGAAGTAATAAATATAGTAACTAGTGTCTTATTTAAACTTTTCTCTAGAAAGCTTCACGTCCTACAATACATTTTTCCTGAAGCATTCATATATTCAATTACAATAGTTTTTGGTTCTATTTTTGTGCATTTAAACAGTCATGAACACTAATGAACATTATGTACAGAAGATCGGTGACAAATTACTTCAGCATTCACAAACTAGTAGAATTTCGCAAATATTTACTAAAGCAAATCACTTTTCAACGATCAATTTGACAACTTCATTATTTCGTAGTGCTTCGAAGGAAAGACCTAAAAGAAGACTTATATAATCACAATTTAATCTTTTTAATCTTTTTAATTTTTCCTCTTTCCATTGTAACTGTTTCCACTTTTTTCCTACTTAAAGTATAAACATTGGAGTTCTTAGTAGACTTAAGTTAATAATTCGAGGTAACTATAGTCGACTCATAAAACTGTTGAGAGAATGTCGTTCGGAAGAGAACAATATTTTTTGGTGGCTTCAAATAGAAAGTTCAAATAGGAGACTGTAAAAACAAAAGCGAATAATATATTCTATTTAAACTATTTATTACTTCATGTAAAAATGAGAAGACATTTTTGTACGAATTTCGCATTTTTTTTTCAAACATTGCTCGATTTCTGATTGTAAACATATGAAAGTGAAAATAACAACACTTGTTGCAACCTATTTCACTTTTTACGATATAGTTCATTCAAATAATTATAATTTAATAGGATTTTGGCTGATCGTGAAAGTTAGTTGATTTAAATAGATACCCAGTTTATAGTACAAATTATCAACTAATCGTAACAATGTAATCTGATTAACAAGTACCAGGGATACTATCTGATTGAGTAAATCAGCGATGCGGTTCGAACCTATAACCTGTCGGTTGATATCTAAGGGCCTTAAACAATGAGATAAGTAATAGTAGTTAGTTTTATGACAGGATAATCGATTTGATACAATAACTGGATAATTTGGATGATCAAACTGATAATTTACTGCCGAAATCAACTTTAGCTACTCCATGACGACAGCAGGACAGTATCATGTTATAAAGTAGGTTATCAAAAGATAATGTGATTGGACTAAAGGTTATAGCTATGGGTTATATCTAGTTTTTCTCTTCAGTAGGAAACTTTCAATTCTGATCAATAAGCAAATCCTCAATAACTTTTACGGTGCCAGTATACTCCAAGTATCACAAAAAGGTTTCGTAGTGGTCTAGAAGTTAAAGGGAAGGGCAAGACTAAAATAACTTATGAACCATAAGTATGAAAGTTAACTAGTCTCTCAAACGACTTGAAACAAATGAGATAAAATGATGGGAATATCAACTTATTATAGTAACTGAGAGCTGGTAAGAAAGTAATATACATGAAAACAGACTGAAAACATTGTATATGCATTGACACTTTAATTGAGAACTGTCTTATTGCAAGCCCCGTCTCTTCCCTACTATTGTGGCTTTAGGGAAATACTGTTGTTGGATTTATGTCTTTGTTTACATACGTAACTGGTATTTCACCGTGATTATAAGTGTTTTACCATAGTGAGTTCATGCTTTAAGACTTACGTCATAATTTCGAACGAAAGAAACGCAGTTAACAACCGAAGCATTAGGTGAAAGTGAAGACAGTATACAGTCAGTAAACCCACGTTCCATCAATGTACAATCTTCACTTCATCTTCATGATGAACCCTATTATTTCAATATTTTAGAGCTAATTATGATAAGCTTACTGGATTACTATCAGATTGTAAGACCTGCAGACGCTAGGATGCACTTTATTTAACTTGTATCTTGACTTTTTGGCTATTCTGTCAAATATAATTCTACTTCGCATGTTTTTGTTTCTTTTCTAACGCCATGTGTAGGGAATCAGACTTGAGTTATTTAGTCTGCATCTACCAATAGGGTCTACGTCAAAAGTCGATAATCAGAAATGATAAAACTTTCGTAGCCGAAAATATTATCAAAACGCTCCGTTACTCCACTCAAGATGATCAAGCTTGGTATTGACACAGGTGTTAGTGACTCTCCAATCACTTAATCACAATATACAAGTAATCTAACTTACAATCATAAAACCAATCTATGTGGCAGGTTGACTCAAACTGTTGAGTGTAATTATCCGACCATCACAAATGTATTTTTAAGCTTGTTGGTGATATTGTGCATGTCCATAAATGATTTTCCATAGCTTTTTACATGCGCACCTTCCTATATATGTCTGCTTGTCTCTGTCTATGGTTAGCACTCGAGACCAATCGAACTCAGTTTTTCGCAGCTTCCAAAATCTGACAGGGCGATCAATCAATTGAAATGGTAATATTGGACAACTATTGATAAGGACGTGTAAGATCGGTCCATCAGGACCAGCTTTTTTCCCACTTTATGATATCTGAAGATTTTTCAACTTCTCCGAGGGCTATGGACCAATACAGAACTATTTCGGTCACCTAAGTGGAGAGTAAGCCATGGCTTCTTTGTATGTTTGTTTCCTCGGTTAACCGGAACAGTTATCTGTTGCCACTTGTCCACAGTGCCTTTTTCATGTCTTTTTCTCACTCCCTTTTCAAACAAACATCAGAAATATTATATTAAAAAGTAACAAGAAACTCTTCTGGACCAAACGCAATTCAGATGGACATATTTACTGAGCTTAAGGGCAGCGAATATACATGTGGAGTAAAATAAAGAACTATCGTCACAACGAAAGCATAGTGGAGCGACTTTTGCGCATACAAAGTGTGAAGAACTGTTCATTGTAGTTGTTTAAAGGCTATATAGTTTTTAATTGTACACAATTCGTAAGATACTGCTTCACGATCAAATCAGTAACAAAACATATTCTGAACAGTATGGCTGGATGTTACAAGTCGCTATATGATTATTATTATTTTTGCCTCACCCACACAGTTAACTAGTATTACCTTTCCATATGCTGTATATTCAACGCTGCATTTTCCCACAGACGATATAGCACTTGGAAATATTCTTGATGAGTCATACTCTGCCGCATTAGTAATCTGTAGCTCTCCATTGTTCTAGATAGATGGCTTACACAAACATCCTCATTGGCTCGATGTTTCAAGTAAGATCTTTCGCATCATTATAATCCAGTGAGATGGGAATAAAGAGTTTAATTTGAAGATATATTACTGTGAGATCAGATAACGACCCTAATAAAATGAGCTCTATTATGTTAAAGGCACCATAGGTCCATGTTTCGTCACACAAGAAGTTCTACTGTTTGGCACTCAGAATACATCGCAGATGTATAAGAGTAAGTTTAGTGACAGTATAGGAACAATATAAAATAGAAATATGAAAAGTACTCAATACTTATATCGGTACAGACTCTGTGACAATCTAAACGTTTGGTGACATTGAATATCATGTAAGTGTTGGCAAATATTTATCTCATTGGTTTTTACTGTTGCTAACAGACAGAAAGTTTTGAAAACCTGTTTATTGTCGCCCAATAGACAGTTGATTGTTATCTACTATTCTGACACTCAGGGTTGGCTCAAACGTGTGCACCATTTTAGTTGTAACGACGTGGGAAGTTACGGAAGATATGGAAACAGAGAAAGCCAAGTCACCTTGTGTGACTTATAAAGTAAATCACTTAAGAAAAAGGAATAACCGTTTAGATCAGGTAAGATGAGCGCTGTGACCCAGTTAAAATTAACTTATTTCCTGTTCTTAGGTAGTCAGTGTTCACTAAGACAAAACGCAGAGAATTGATAGTATCTCTTTTTTAGTCATACGGATTTAGATATAGCTGTAGCGCTTAAACATAACCAGTCGAAAAAATGGTATTCAATGGTACCAAACAGTGTTCAAAAGGAAATGAGTCACAAATGTCTTCACATGAACCTTAAACCGGCTATCTAGTGTAGTCGTGTATCAGGTAGGGGAAAAATTACCATGCATGTTTGTTTGATTGCTCAAGACTAACTTCTAAATGGACTCAGTCTTGCAGGTCAGTGGTCTCATTATCTATGATGCTGTCTTCCTCTATGGTACTGTGTTTCAAACCACGTTTAAAACTCTTGAACAGTCTTCTGCAGATTAGATCGGGAGTTCGGTGCAATAAATCACCGCAAACGAGGACCTGATGAACTATGTCGTGTGACTTTAGTTGACCTGTGATTATTCCTACAAAAAAGTCAGAAGGTGCAAACCACACAAGGCACGAGACTTAAATCAAGTTGGTTAGAGTGTCTGATATCTCATCAAAATACTGAGAACACTAATGTTTGAGCCCAACTCTTGTACAATCAATGGAGTCTTTGAGCACATGTCAACTAAGGCTAATCCAAACACATCCGTCCCTCTCAAACTTCCACAAGTAAACTGGTGAGCACTTGGATAAAAATATTTTACCATGACATCTATTACAACACAATGTCAGGACTGGGTCCATGTTAGCTATTAATGAATTTCATCGAGACTTTGAAGTAACCTGAAGGTCTCGGAGTTAGGCATCCGAGCGCAAAATCGAAAGTTCCGGGTTCGAGGTCCCGTGGAAGTTGATGATCACTACTGGATGGTAGAATCAAGTACTATTGATCTTCCATATATAGCCATCAGTGGTCTTTAACTTTGTATTAACCATTCAATACCCATCAGTTAATATCAAAACTTAGAAATCACATAGCTCTGTTTGATTGTTATACATTGCCTCTGAATTTATATGGTGCTAAACAATGGAATTCTTGATTGCACAGTTTATAAGTGCTAGCAGCTAAGTGTGCGGAAGATACACAAGGTTTAATGAAGTCAGGTGTACAGGTGATTGAGTATCTGTAGCTTATCAGCGTCCAATACAAATGATTCGATCAGCATTGTTACCGATTACTTAAAAAATTATTTATTTTAAGGAATTACGCACCAAAACAGTAACTTTGTGATCTTTGTGATGATCCTAACCGACTGTGGTGCTCGTGATTGACATGATCATTATGACACAGAAAACAACTCAACAAGTTCTCGTATGCTTGCGTATAATACTGTATTATAACTGTATCAATAACACAGGCAATTTTCGAGTTATCGCAGTGTACTCAAATTTCTGAACAAATTATCGGGGTCGATGCAACGAACCTTCGAGATACCAACCGGTGGCTCTTCTCTCTATACCTTCAAGAATTATGGAGTCCCTGATATGTAAATGTATACACGACTACTTATTATCCGTAAGCTTCTTTTCACTCCAACAGCACGGTTTCAGAAAGGGCATTTCTTGTATAACCAACCTGCTTACTGCTGTGGACAGATGGACAACCATCCCT